TTATAAATAATTTTAAACTATATATTAAATACTAGAAACAGCAAAGCTAACTTAATTTTGAATTTAGCTAAAAAAGACTGATAGAACTTAGAAATTATAAGTTAATTCAAAGATCTGGTGTGAATTTTCATGAATTCACCTAAAAGTCTGATTCTGGTTCTGGTTCATGTTCGATTCAAACATTGAACTCGAATGGAGTTTGGTTCAAATATCGAACCTTACTTGAACTTAAATGAAAGTCCAGTTCGAGTTCAGTTCAAATATTGAATCATACTCGAACTTAAATGGAAGTCCAGTTCGAGTTCAGTTCAAACATCGAATCATACTCAAACTCTAATGAAAGTCTGGTTCGAGTTCGGTTCGAACTTCGAACCTTTCTTGAATACAAGCCAAAGTTCAGTTCGAGTTCAGTTCGAATTTCAAACTGAACTTGAACCCAGGCAAAAGTCCAGTCCGGTTCAGTTCATAGGAACACTATTATAGATTATTATATCAATGATCAAAAGCAAGAGCAATATCCAATAGCATAGTTGAATTAATAATTCCATTTCTATATGAAGATATATTTTGTTGACATGAATTTTCAAAAGAAATAATATCAGATAGAGGTACAATCTCATATATAATTTAATAACAAAAATGTATTATTTTAATATATATCATGAAATATAAATTGTAATATTTTAATGTGTAATCTAAAATATAAATTATATTACTTTGATATATATCATGAAATATAAATTAATATCTTGGTATATGTCTTAAAATATAAATTATGATATATAACCTAAACTAAATGATTATAACATAATTATATTATAATCACTCAGATAACAAATAAATATCTATTTGCTGCACTATTTCTAGATTTAATTTAAATAGAGCTTTAATTAACAAATTATTATATTAATAAATATTAGATATTAAACAAAATTATAAAATATGAATAGAATATTTTCATATATTAATATTTATAATATAATCAAAATTATATTTTAATAAAAATAAAAATAATAATAAAAATATAATAGTTTATAAATATAAAATATAAATTAATATTTTTGAATAATATTTTACTATAATATTGCAATATTTATTTATTATAATATCTATTTATATATGAATTATTGTATAATTATTTAAATTAATTAAAAATACTTTTTATAAAATGTCAAATAATATAATTTATTTTAATTCTATTCTATTTCTTTTAAAACTATCTTATCTATTTACCTTCCTTAACCAAATTAAATTCTATGCAAAAATGATTCAAAAAATCATTCTTATAATAAAAATATAACATAAATTTATTTTATTAATAATTATACTTTTTTTAGAAAAAGAAATATCGATGATATATACCAATTTTAGGATCGGATCATAATTTTTAATCTGATCCGATTCTTTCTAGGATCAGCAGTTCTTGGATCGGATGAGACCGGATCGAACTTTTAATATTCTTATGAAAATGGATTCGTTATCAGGTGTTCTCGTCATGAGGAGATCCCGTGATATTTAAATATTATTAACCACGCAACATAAACTTTTGGATGGTGACTGCACTAATTGAATTAGGCAGACGTGTGGCACTCAATAAATAGGAAAATTTGTATCAACATCCTTTGACCATCGATAAAACCCGCCAATCACATCTTTCACCTCCCCTTGAGTGATCCCTCGCAATAAAGGCACTGCATGCTGTGAATCATTTCCCAGACGACATATTGTGTAGACTTGAAAAAAATATAGAATCAAATCAATTAAGTTCTCTATGCATTAAAATCAGTAATAATTAATTTACCTGGAGTGTTTGAGAACGGTAATGCCTGTTTTACTTCTTCGAGTCTTTCGGGTAGTTCGCGTAATGGGATATCTATATGTTTTTGAAATGCAAGCTCATAAAACGAATGGCAGTTATCACTATATACTTACGGTTATCGACTTACTTATTGAATCGGGTAGATGGCAAATTTCAAATTGAACTTTTTCCCGTACGTCAAGTAAGATATGACGTGCTTTCTGTGCACGAATAGCCGCGTACTCCTATCAATAATAATCAATATAATATGCCTACAAGAATGCACCGAAATTTATTTAGAAAACCTGAAAATAATCTTATTTCACCTTTGGATTGATACGTTCTTCCGTCCCAAGTAATTTGACAGTAGGTGACTTTATTTGGATAATATAATGACCGATTAAATTACAATGCAAACAAAAATACTCTTAATTCGAAAAGAGAAATACCTTATCTAAAACACCAATTCCACAGAATTGTACATAATCTTGCAATTTGGAGATTGATGGTTTATTCCCACACACTTCACAATCAGATTTCTTTGGTCGTAATTTTATGGAGCGAAATAAAGGATGAGAAGCAGCAGAAAAGAGAAGAAGATTTGGAGTATATGTTTCCTCTATATTTTAATTAATTAATTGATTAAGTTATTAATTTTAAAAAAGAATTTCATTCATAGCTAACCATTTATATTCGTGACTATTTTGATAGCTTCTAAAGCTTGTAAACAGCCAATCACGCCGGTGACTAATTAGAAATTAATATATAAGTATAATACATATAACATTAATGCTACATAACTAATGTAAAAAAAAAAAAAAACAAACCAACTCCCAAAATTCCGCCATCAGCACAATTAGTCACAGTCTCGGGTGGTGGAGGCTTTGGATATAAACAACGATAACATGGACCGCCACGATAATTGTAGATTGTCAATTGACCTTCCATGCGTAACGCACTCCCTGATACCAACGGCTTTCCAGTAATTACACATGCGTCATTAAGTAGATAACGTGTCGCAACGTTATCAGTCGCGTCAATTATAATGTCGTATCTAAAAATCAAATAAAAATGTTGAGTCAGCGAATTGTGTCGAACTTAAATAAATATTTAATATATCCTCACCCTTTGATAATCGGTAAAGCGTTTGAACTATCAAGCTGTAAATCATAGGCGTTGCATTCAACAAAAGAATTTAATCTTTGATATTAAAAAAAATTAAAAAATGAAATTTATGAAAAAAAGCCTAGCATGCCAAATTTATTTAAAATACCATTAATGTACCCTTCTACAGTCATTTTCGCTGACTGAGCTTTTGAAAGTCCCGCTCGTGACTCGTTATGAATTATTTGTCGATGAAGGTTTGATGTCTCAACAACATCATAATCAACAATTCCGAGGCGTCCTGTGGATGTCAATGTTGATGGGAGTGAGTCAATATTGATTTTCAATAACAAATTAGAACGTGTGAATTTGAATTTTTTATTAGTTTCTTTGAGTCAAAATTTTGTTGATAGAATGACTCATCTTTAAGAAACAAAACTATACATACCTACCCCACACGCTGCAAGGTATATCGCAGCGGGGGCACCTAATCCTCCCGCACCAACAATTAAAATTGAAGTGGCTTTCAATTTTTTTTGAGCTAACAATATTAAAATTAAATGAATCAACGAATAGACTCATATCCATAAACTCGATCAATATTTGATTTTACCAGATAAACCAAAGCCTGCAAGTATAAGCTGCCTTCCATATCGAAGATATTCTGTAAGGCTTAAATCTACGCAGGTGGCAGGAGTTGGTGGTTCAATAGTAGTAGTTGTAGTTATATTAGAAGGTTTCGATAAAGTATTCTTCTTCGAAGACTGGTCAAGAGAGTGTTTCGAGTTTAGTTGATTTAATTCTTGTTCCAATTGAACCACACGTAATTTAAGTTGTTCATTCTCCTTATTAAGCTTTTCATTATCTTCAAGCACAAGCTGCAAATGTGAGGCGGCAATGGTTTCCATACCGTCAGATTTAGTAAAAACGCGATTTGTGGAAGATCATGTTCCCAACAGCATATTCCACGTGACAATTTTTATAATTCCCATATTTTTTAAAATATTATGTGAGACGGAAATTTTTTATTAAGTTTTTGCTTCGAGTTTGGATACATAAAACAAAGTCAAAGTCAAAGAATGGTATTATTCACTTTCATAATTCTTCACTTTAACACAATAGTCAATATTATTACTTATCAACTTCTACTACGAACTTGATCCATCTTTTCTATTCGTTGCTGATTGGGAAGTTTGTTCATTTCCGTAACTCTGATAATAACTTATTAATTTATCAATTGAAACTAAAAAGTTATGAGAAAAATCTTGAGTTCTAAATTGTGCTCTGAATTGATAGGTGAATGATAATACTGTTCTTTGACTTTGTACACCTTGTCTCACTTGTGAGTCACTATATAAATGTGTGTGTCATATGGTGCAAACTTACCATAGACGTGGCGTAACTATATAAATAACCAAATTAGGTATGCATGTGGCAGTGTCAATGACAATTATGACTCAACTAAAATACATGTATTTGGATAAAAAACCCAAATGCTTGCAAATAATTCACGCGTCGCTGTTAAATTGTTATCGAGATCACGAATCCGTATTCCTTTACAACCACATTTTCCAATCACATTTTCTAAAAATTTCACCATAATGTCCTCAACAAATCAAAACCACAAACTCTGTATGATACCTGGTACGTATACTGTCTTTTTTCTCGCGTAATACTATTATTTTTATCTCATGATATTTTACTTTTTCTCTTAGGTCCAGTTGAGTTTCATGAAGATGTGCTTGATGCAATGTCTACTTTGTCAACATCGCATGTTTCGCCCGCTTTTATACCAATATTCGGTGAAAGTATTGAGCTTCTTCGTAAAGTGGTTTTGACCGCAAAAGGTCAACCATTTGTTGTTGCCGGCTCCGGAACTTTAGGTTGGGATATGGTTGCTTCTAATTTGGTTGAACCTAATGAAGATGTGCTGGTATTGAATTCCGGTTACTTCGGGGATTCTTTTACTACCTGGTGAGCTTCGTCATTTTTTCCCTTTTACTCTAGTAAAAAATATTATACAACCATGTATTCGCGTTTACATATTATTTAATATAGCCTCGAGACTTATGGCGGAAAGGTAACGCAAGTAAAAGCACCAATTGGCGATAAACCATCACTTCAGGAAATCTCTGAAATGCTCAAAACCAAATTCTTCAAAGTAATAACAATCACCCATGTAGATACTTCTACTGGTGTTCTTTCCGATGTCAAATCGATTGCCCAGCGAGTGAAAGAACAATCGCCAAATACACTTGTCATTGTTGACGGTGTATGTTCAGTAGGTGTGGAAGAGATTCGTATGGACGAGTGGGGTCTCGATCTTGTGATGACTGCTAGTCAAAAAGCTTTGGGCGTTCCACCAGGTCTTTCCATTGTGATTGCAAGCGAAAGAGCTATTGTTAGTATTATTTTATGAAGCAAAGAAAGATTTAATTTCTTATTATCATTATTATTATTCATCCATATCGCAGGAAACTTTCAAAAAACGCAAAACTCCCGTAAAAAGTTATTACGCTTCATGGGCTAATTGGCTTCCGAGTAACTTTACTTTGCATTACTAGACTACATATATGCTTATTATAATTGATGGTAATCTAATTCTTTTTAATTTAGTAATGAATGCATATGAAGCTCGTAAGGGTGCGTACTTTGCAACACCCCCGGTGCAATTAATATACGCGTTAAATACAAGTTTGAAACAAATCACATCTGTGCCACTCGAAAAACGATTCGAGCAACACAAAAAAGTCAGTAAATTCGTCAAAGACGCAATTGAAGAGTTGGGATTAAAAATGGTAAGAGAATCTTTACTTAAATATGACCATAATCAATAATAATCATATTTGGTACTCCTCGTTAAGCTTCCAAAATCAAGAGACATAGCCGCAAATGGCATGACCGCCGTTTATTATCCGGAGTCTTTGACCGCTGTAGATCTTTTGCCTAAAGTCGCATCCAATAATATTGTCATCGCTGGCGGATTGCTCAAGACAATTGCATCAAAATACTTTAGAATTGGGTAGGCGTTTTTGGCATTTTGCATCTTTGTTAACACGTTGTGTGATTATTTATCTCCTCTTCATTCTTCATAGACATATGGGTATTAGTGTAACGGAACCAGATAGAAAACATATTCAAGATACAGTCTCAGCTTTAAAAATTAGTTTAAAGGATTTGGGATATTCAGCTAATTTATAGAATCTTAAACCTGTACCATTATATAGGATTTGGGCGAATAAGGTATAGAATTTGGTAATAGAAGGGAAAGAAATAAACTATTACGAGTTCAAATATAAATGGTGCATACTGCACCACAAGTTATTACAAAGACAAAAATTTTTTTGTATTTTTAGATTTTTTCTAATAAAGTTGTTTTAATTACAAAGTTATTATAAAAGTTTTTTTACAATTATAAATGTAAAATTAATTATAAAAACATTTTGCAATTACTTTGCAATTAGAATAACTTTGTTAGAAAAAATCTAAAAAATCCAAAAAAAATATATTAAACTATAATTTATAATCTTTGTTTTAATATAAAAATAAAAATATTATTAACAAAATTAAAAACTTTTATATATAAAATAAAAATTTTTATTTTTATTATATTTTATTAATAAAATTGCATGTATAAAGATTTTGTTTTGGTTTTAACTTTTGTTTTTTGTTTTTTTCTATTTTTTATTTGTTTTTTTTTTGCTTTTTTGTTTGTTTTATTTGTTTTATTTTTCTTTATCTTATTTATCTTATTTTAATATTATATTATTTTTTTATAATATATTTTTATTTTTAATATACAACATATATTTAGTTTTAGTTTTGTTTTTATTATTATTATAATTCATTTAGTATTTGATTTATATTAAATTTATTATTGTTAATTATTCATTATCATTATTTTTATTTTTTTATAAAAATCTACCATGAACACAAAATCTAAATAAAATAATAAAAAAATTGTATTTGTCATTAACTTTTCAAAGAATAAGTAAAGAACTTAATTAAAAAGCTCAATAATTTTTCTAAGCTAAAATATATAATTCTTTTATAAATAATTGTTGAATATTAATTATTAGTAAAGTTAAACTAATATTTAAAAATAAATATTGAAATATATATTTGAATCAATATTCAAAAAAATCTTTAAATAAATTTTTAAATAAATATTTAAATAAATATTTAAATAGATTTAATAAATATTTAAATAAATATTTAAATAGATTTAATAAATATTTTAGCCAATAAAATATAAAATATAATTATTCAATAAGAATATTATCCAATAAAATGAAAGAATATAATTATTTAATAAGAATTTTGAAATAGTAAAATTTGATTTATAACAAAATAAAAATTTTTTAAATTGTAAAAAATTAATTAGAAATATTTTTGATAAAATATTTATAAATCAATTAGAAAAACTATAATATTTTATATTTCAAAAAACTTTAAATTATCAAAAAAATATTTTGTAAAAATACTATATACTAAAAAGATTCATATTTCTTAGTTATATAATATAATATTTAAAGACTAGCTAAAAAAAACTCATCATTTTATATAATATAATATTTAAATACTAGCTAAAGAAAACTCATCATTTTATATATTGTTACCATTTTATATAAGTCTTTGAAAGAGCTAGTAAATGCTTAATAACATTATAATAAGTTACTTGATCAGGATAATTATAGTAAAGTTTATTAAGAATGATAGGTGGGAGAGTATAATATAATCAAATCTATATAATGCATCAAGTATTAAACTATGATTATAACGAATCTAAAGGAAGATAACAGTGTGTTTATGATGTGATCAGCTAGAATGAGACCTGAAATTTTTAATAATAGTGTTTAATTAAAGAATTTTATGTAATAAATATGTAATTTCAT